GAGCTGGTAATTCATCTCTGCCTCATGGGCAAGGTCAACCCCCCAACAACCTACCACCTCTGATCCCACCTCAAATTCCAACTCAACTCCCACCTCAGCTTCCACCTCAGGTCCCAATTATGTTCCCTCCTGGTGATCATGCAGAAGGAGGAGATGAAAATCAACCTCACGCCTCAGCTCACAACTCAATTTCCACTGCCAACCAAGACGTGGTTACAGCTCAGCTTGCTGCCATGCAGCAGCAATTTGGTGTTTTTCAGTTGGTACTAGCTCAGCTTCTAGCTAGAAATAATCCTAGTGATCCTCTCATTAATTTACTAAACCCTGCTCAACAACCCCCAGCTCCACAACAAAACCCCCAACCGGTTCAACCCGCTCCCGCTATTAGTGAATCCCAAGCTCAATCCCACATTGCACCCGCTCAACAACCCATCCCTGCTGATGTTACTCGCCGCCTTGATAGCCTGGAGAAGCTAGTAGCCAAACACCGAGGTGCTCCACCCCCACAACATGTTACTAATTCCATACCTCACCCCCTGAATACCAACATCACATTGGAACCCTATCCTACTGGTTTCAAAATACCACAGTTGGAGACTTATGATGGGACGAAGGATCCCGATGACCACCTGCACGCCTTTTACTCTTGCATGCAAGCTCAGAACGCCTCTGATGCGTTAATGTGCAAAATTTTCCCCTCTACTCTGCGAGGTAATGCTCGAACTTGGTATTATAGTTTACCTCTGAGGTCGATCAGCTCTTATACAGAAATGGCATCTGCCTTTGCCACTAAGTTTTCCAGTAGAAGGTTGATTAGGAAAACTACTTCTGAGTTGATGAGAGTTAAACAGAGGGATGGAGAATCTCTGAAGAACTACATGAGCAGGTTTAATGATGCAGTTTTGGAAGTTAGTTCTTTTGATCAAGCTATGGGAATCGCAGCTGTGATCACTGGTCTCAAGCATGACAGATTCAGAGACAGTTTGATCAAACATGCTGCCACCACTTTTAGCGAGGTGAATGATCGATCTCTTAAATTCATAACTGCTGAGGAATACGCCCTGGCGCAAAATCCACCTTCCTCTAAGAACCAGAACCCAGAATGGAGGGATGACAACCCGAGCCGGAAAAGGATGAGAATGGCGCAGAACCGAGGTTCGGTGTTGACCTCCCCACCGAGATTCGGAAGGCCGAACTCAACACCCCAGCAATAATCTGCAGGTAAACCTCCAGTTAATTGGACTCCATTTAATATGCCGAGGTCTCAAATTTTTATGCAGATCAAAAATAAGATGGACTTGAGACGTCCTAGCCCAATGCGAACTACTGCTGCTAGTTGAGACCATACCAGATATTGTGATTTTCACCAGGATCACGGCCATACTACAGAGCAGTGTAATAGTCTAAAGTCCGAACTGGAAAGTTTAGCTCAAAAGGGAATGCTGAATGAGTATGTACAGCGAGCTGAACAACCGAGGTTTGTCAGAGAACAGAGGCCGCAGCCTCAAGGAGTCCGCAATCCCCCAAATAGGCAAGGCGTGGGCTATCAACAAACCCCACCCCCACTCCCACCACCAGCTAGAATCATACATATGATTACGGGAGGCCTTGAAGCAGGTGGACTGAGCTCTAAGCAGCGAAAGCTGTATGTCAGGGAGGTTAAACATCAAAACAGAGCTCAGAAGCGGAAGATTGACGATGCTGAATGGAAGAATCAACCAATTACTTTCACATCTGCTGATTTCGATACAGTTGTTACGCCCCACAATGATCCTTTGGTCACTTCTGTCATGATTAACAACTGTGAAGTACAG